GGACTCACAGGACCAAGTTAGGCCCTCAGAATATACTTGTGCAGCTTGAGTAGTCTGTGGGACCAATGGCAGTGAGACCAGGACTTGTCCCTGGTGCTTGATCTGGGTTTTTGAAATCCATTCTCTTTGGAGGGATGCCTTGCTCAGTCTAGATAAAGGAGAGAAGGCCTTGGTCCTGCCTCAAAGTGATATGCCAGACTTTGCTGACTTCCCAAGGGAAGCCTTACCCTTTTGGGGGAGGGGGGGAAAGCGGAAAACTGGGATTGGTATGTAAAATGAGAAAAGATTGTTTTAAAAAAGGAATTAGGAAAAAATGAAGAGAAAATATATATAATAAAAAGGAAAATAAATTTTACTATCAAATTGAAAAAAACTACATGATTCTCCTGCTTTATAAGCATTACTTTAAATGAACATATTGCATTATAATTACGTATCTATGCATCGCTCATAGTGTTCAACTTATTTCTACTCTATGGAAGCCAACAGTGCCACCGCTCATGTGTTAGATGAGATTTCACCTACTTGCACCTCCTTGTCTCGCTGCATGAAAACATCCCCTGACTGCTGAAGCTCTGGACACCTCTTTCCCTGTTGACAGAGTGTAAAGGAAACTAAAAGAGTTGTGGACAACATAAAGGCTCTCATGCCCCATTAGAACATAGCTATAAGCAAAGAAATGTTTTAAGTCTGAAGAGATGGCAACGATGTTGTGAGGAATCGCTGATGTCACATATAGCTGGAAAACAGCAGAAGACTGAAGTCTATCAGGTTCTGAGGTCCTTTATAGTACAGGAATCTAATTACACAAAGTCTATTCCTTTTCCTGTTTTCTAAGTCAAAAAAATAATGACAACTGTACAGAAGAAAACACTTTCTTTGTTGCTCCCAAGTGATTTTTATATAGTATAAAACATAAATGAAGTGTTATAAAATAACCCTTACATTCCTAAAGAGAAAAAGAAAAGCTATCTACATGTAAACTGTTATGCTACTTATTCATTTTCAATGTTTAGCTTAATTTACAATTTAAGTTTATAACGTTTTCCATCACCCCGAACTGATTAGTTTTTTGATCTGTGGTATCCCCATAAATTCATGGAGGAAGCCACTCTATGTATGCTCTTATATAATCAAAGCCACATAAAAAAAAAAAATCCTGCAACTGAGCAGCCAAAGTATAAAGTTCACTTTTAGTGACCTCTGTAGTCCATCTTCTCTAGCCTGGCAGTGAGAAGCCAAGTATTCAGGTACCCGCCACTGAAGGCTAAGCTCTCCTAACTATTATGGCTACTGTCCTGAAAAGAAATTAGTTCTATTTCTGTTGGTAACACATTTCAGACTGTTTACACAGCTGACATTTCTCAGCTGTCCTCAATTCATGCCCTAAGCTGTGAGGACTAGCTTGTTTTGTAGCAGATGCCTCCACTTAAGTGTTTTCAGTAAGTATAAAAACAACAACACCTGCAACAAAATAAATTACTTGCAAAGCACTAGCATTACATGTTTTCAAGGTCCCAATGAAACAAATTTTCTAAGATTTGGCTAGACTCTCTCCAAAACCATAGTTACGACTTTTTGGCCTCAACTCAAGCACTGGAGCTAGAAGATGTGCTGTGGCACTAGTTAAAAACCGCCGCCTGGCCCTACATATCTTCGTTGTGTCAAATCATGCAGTTCAAGGCACATCCTGCCAATGTGGCAACATTTGCTCTGGGGAAGTGTGGGCAGGCACCACTTCACAGGTCTTGGGAAAAGGTGCAAATATGAATAATGAGGCGACAGGATGAAGCTTACTGGGGATTCCCTCTCCTGCTTGCTGTGACTCATACAGCACCAGGTAGTGTTACAGTTTTGGACACACTCAGCTTAGTCTGCTTCTTGTAGCTTCCTCAAGAAATGGAATCACATTGCAACTCTTTGCTAAAAGTAAAATCTTACACAAATATTAAAACATGGGTCTCATAAAATACTGTATCAAACTAAGTCAATAAATTAGGGCATATAATGTATAAGGTACTTTAGTACAGAGGAATAGGTCCTATTTTACTTACTTTTCCTGTTATTTTTGAGTTTGTACATTATCAGCTTATTTCTTGGTTTCTGCAACTGTGGTGTCAAAACCATTTTTATCTAAAATTAGAGCATGTAGATCTACTCTTAAGCCTGTGCAGCCTTGCATTTTAAAAATTTCCCCATCATCTTCTGATGGGGGGAGAGTCTTCTGTTTTATGTTAATTTCATTGGTTAAATAAAGAGACTGCCTTGGCCCTTTAATAGGACATAAAATTAGGTAGGCGGAGTAAACAGAACAGAATGCTGGGAGAAAAAAGCTGAGTCAGACGGTCATCATGATTCTCCCACTCCAGAAAGACGCAGGTTAAGATCTTTCCTGGTAAGCCACCTCATGGGCAACACAGATTATTAGAAATGGGTTAGCTCAATATGTAAGAGCTAGCCAATAAGAGGCTGGAACTAATGGGCCAGGCAGTGTTTAAAAGAATACAGTTTCCGTGTAATTATTTCAGGTATAAAGCTAGCCGTGCGGGCGGCTGGGTGGCGGGACATAGCCCCGCCGCTCCTATTTCAACAATCTTCTGTCTTTATTGTCACTTTAGTCACTTACTACTGACTTTAAATTATAGTAAATTTCAAATATATCAACCATGTATATCACTCAGATTCAATACTGCCCAATAGATGGATAATCTGGATCGCGTCTACTCTCACGCATTCCTGGCCCCACAGGTAATTTTGTAGCAAAGTGCAGATAGTCTTTCATATGCTCATATCAGTCAATCCTTGTCTATCATATTGAGCTATTGCTGATGTCTTTCCTGTCTACTGTAAGACACTCAGTTTAAATATGTTATCATTAATCTTCATAAAAATGGTGGAAAGTGGCCAAGCTTTAGAGAATTCTAGTGATGTGCTTGGATCTTAAATTATGTACTTTTTGGTCGTATTTATGTCTTATAATGAGTTTTAAACAACACTAAGAACATTTCTATTTTTTTGTGTGTGTCTTCTTAGATCCTAACACGAAAAAAAAAAAAACAATCAAATGAGAAACTCCAAAATAAGCAAACAAAATTTACCAAAAAGCCAACAACTACAGTCTTTTTTTTTTTTTTGGCAGTAGCCAGTGATCAATAATTCTAGTATTATACTATTATAAAAGTGATAGCAAAGAGTCCTACTGTTTTCTAAATCTTTTTTAAATTTTTGAAACCCAAGCATTTTCCCAAAGGCACACAGTTTATAACTAGACTTAAATAGCATCTTCATCAATAAACTGTCTTAGAATTATTTTATCTTCCAAAAAGAATTTTTTAAATGTTAGGTAGCATTGACAGAAGAATAGAAATTGGCCAGACAGTTGTAGTACTTATTAGAAAAATATGAGGAGCTAATTCAATTCTTAGCTACAACCATGAGTTTAGTATTACACAGTGTTTGCAAAGGCCTTGATTCTTTTTAGCATTGTTTATCTTTAAAAATTAGATTTTAACTTAGAATTCCTGAAACATTCTCCTATTTGCATTTTAAAATCTTATGGTCTAGAGAGATTACTTAGTGGTCATGAGCACTTCCTGTTCTTCCAGAGGACTGGAGTTCAATTCCCAGCACCCACAGAGGATATGACACCCCCTTTCTGTAAGCCACCACCAACAGACACATATAAAAAAAAATAAAAATAAAAAGTGACTGATTCTAATGACATATTGCTATACCAAGAAGAGGACATGCATCATGAAGCCCTCGTCAGACAAGCTACTACTTGGAGTAGATGGTAATTAGCATTGAGACACAGCTGGACAATGAGCAGAGCTTGAGATGCTTTGGAGCACTCAGCCCTAATGAGAATGTCTGCATCACGCTCCTACCTTCAAGACTCAGGAATCTATGCAAAAGAGGGAACCAAATTATTACATGAGCCAGAAGTGGTGGACAACCTCGAGGGAAAAAGTTATACAAGAGGACTGATGTGCATACAAACTCATGGACTTTGACTACTACCTGGTGCGCAAATCTAAGTCAAACAAAATCCTAGTATTGAGAAGGAAAAGTGGGCACAAACTCATACCCATAGCTAAGTTATTTGAAATCAGCTGGTAGGAGGGGAAAAATCAGTTTTCTCCAACGGAGTGAAAATGGATCTATCAACCAACTCCATTATGGGCCTTATGTTCAGGAAGATCTAGCCAACACGAATCAGACTTCAATATATTGCATGAAATTCTCTAAAGATAAATAAAAAGTTTTGGACAAGCAAAACCAACCCCAAAACAAGGCAGTTATCTGTTTAGAACAGGTAAGTTAGTAAATATGGGGAGAGATCGAACAAAACTTCAAGTCAGTAGACTTCTTGTGATGAAAAGATTTCTTCTTTAGGAAAGGAGTTAATTATTAAAAATTGGCAGAGATGGAAAAGGTTTCCAAATTTATAATAGAAAGTATTTAAAAAATGATATTACTGTCAGATAACACTAATTTTTAAAATTTTTATGGTAATAAATATATTTATTTATTATATTAAAGATTTGTGCTATTTGTGTCAAGTATAAAAAGGAGAAATTCTTTTGAATTTAATAAATTTTAAAGCTACAGACCCTTCACATAATACACATGCATACATGAGTATGTATATAAATGTACGTATGTATGCATTTGATTTTGAAAAATCTATAATATAGGAATTTTTTTCACCTTGAACATCTTATTAATATTAACCACATATATTCTCAAAGAAAAATTTATGTCAAATCAAGGAATACTATATTCTTGACACTGATACCTATCATTACCAAAATATTACTGTGCTTGGCTTATGACATTTGTTCTATAAATCCGTTCAAATTATTACAATTTTTCAAAATTTTTGACATGATGTGATGTAAATAAAAAGTTCTTTCAGTGGAAAATTCAAGAGCATTTGATTCCGTTTCAAACAGCCAACTATATTGAAAAGGGAGGCTATAAACTGGGCAGGAACTTACTGAGTCATCAGTGGCAGAAGCTGGCCAGCCCTCCCATAACTGATGTCGAACAGGTATACTCGTAAGGTCATAAACATTTCTCTTTACCTAGAAAAAGAAAGTAATAGAATTACAACAGGATTTTGACATTATTTTAACCATGGTAGCTTTAATTCATTTAACATAAAACATGTTTTATATTTTCTTTTAGCTTCAAAACAATAATTTAGACTACAAGTCAGAAAAATTTTACAAAAGGCTAAAAATACAATAAAAGCCAGAGCAAAATTTCAATGAAGGCTAGGTGAAGTAGTATTTCAAAAAATAACTTTCTTTTGATAATGATTGATTTTGGGGGGTATATGCACAGTGTGTAGATGGCTATGTGCATGTGAGGAAGGGTGCACTCAGAAGCCCAGAGGCATGGGAGTCTCTAAGCTGGAGTTATAAGAAGTTAGCTAGGGTCTCTGCAAGGGCAGTGCACACTCTCAAGCTGAGTTCTCATCACTGCTGACTTTAGGTAATCGTGCACTGAAACCTGACTACATCTATATATGCTTCTAAGTAATTTAATCTGAAAACTTTATGATTCAAACAAAAAAGTACACTTCAAGTTTTTATTTATGAGAAGAAAGTGAATTTTGGTTAAAATGGAGTAAGGAACGTAATTTTTAATTTGAAAGGCACAGAACAATATAAAGCAGGTTAGATGATTTCTTTGACATCACCCCAAATTAAAAGCTAAGCTGAGGTTTCTATTAATATATTTTAGCCTGTCCTAAAGACAAAATAATTGACTTAGTGAGATCTTGTCTCAAAACAAGCAAACAAACAAAAATAAATAAATAGAAACAACACTAAAATTTTTGCCTACCAGCAATATTCTACCTTTCACTTTAAGGGGAGAAGAGTTAAATCATCAAAACAAGGCTGTGGGGAGTTCAACTACCTATGTGCTGTCCAGTGACTTAGGAAGGGTCATACCTTGCAGGGGGTGCTGGCCAAAACCTGCAACTGCTGTATTCCATTGCAAGGCAGGAGGAACTCCAGCAAGAGACCAGCTTGAACAATTTAGAAGGACTCTGCAAAGCTTAATCCCCCAAAGGATCATATCTTTCTTTAATTTCTTAGCATTTTTCTAAAAAACATATAGGAATTTTATTTCATTCTTCATTTACAATTACGATAATTTGCTAATTATAATAATGAAGAGACAGTCCATCTGATAGTATACTCTTCATCCAGGCTGATTTTGAGATATTGCGCTATCTTTTAACGTTTTAATATGGCTGCTCAACAAGCAGCACTCAAGCAAGCTTCTAAAGGGCAGAACTGGAGAGTGCCATGCTGTTTAGCTACAGCATTTTGCTATCATCATCATCATCGTATCTTTATTACACACTAACAGATCTAAGTTATCCTTCCAGTGAAACAGAGATATGCACAAACTAAGGGGAAAAATAAACATGGAATTCAATCTATTTTTATCTTTAACATACACCTGTGGGAGAAAAGAATCAGTTAACTGAGATCTGAAGCACTTGGGACACAGTTTGACACCCCCCCCCCACACACACACACACTCAATTGAAACAGGCAGTTTTTCTCCACAGCTAATATGCAGCATTTTTCTTACAGCTGCCACATCAAGTTTGGAAATTCTGATTAGTCCTTGCCAATCTGACAACTTGGCCAAAGGCAACTGGACCTGACGTAAGCTGAGTCTATTTAGTTGCACTTATGTATTACTGCTCTTGGGGACAAAGGTGCTTCAATAATCCAAAGCATTACATTCATAAAAAAGACAGAAGAGGAAGCAGGAGGAATCTGTAGACTTCAAGATAAAATTTCTTTCTTTAAACTTATGTTTGGAGTGCCCAAATAAACCAGAGTTCATCAGCTATTTTCAAACAAAAGCAGAAGAAAAATATGTATGTGTTGGAAAGGTGGAGAGGTTACCCCATCATTGGAAACTTACACAAACATAATGGGCACAGAAACAATGATATACTATTATGAAATAAACAGTATTTCATGTTTCCTTACTCATATATAGTTCACTGAACTGAGTGACATTCCTTTGCTGTCTTAAGCCTGAAAAGCAAGTTCTGGCTATGGTGCTATGTTGGTATAAAGCGCAACGCCAGACTGATGTGCTGAACAAAAGTGATCAAAGTTAAATTCATGTTAGCCATTGCACAAGTATTTGGCTTCATTGTCCTTCCAAGAAAGACATCTGTTAAGCTACTTGTCGTAGAATAAACTAGTTAAAGCAGAGAGAACTTAGCTGCGAGAGTACCATGTAAAGGATATTAGGCTAAAGTTTGATTATTCCAAAGCAAAGGCTATATTCAAAAAGTACTCTCAGATTGTGACAAAAACATCTTATGCTAAACTACAATCATTAAATAGCAATTTAAGTGAAAACAAATTGGCTTTTCAGAATTAAGTTCATGCTGTAAGCATAGGCAGACTTTACCATTACAAAACAAAGTGGTAAGACACCAAAAAAAACTCCACTGTCTTTACTGATGTGTATTCAATTAAAGTTTAAATCACAATTGTGCAGGAAAGGAAAAATTAACAAGTACCCAAAGCAAATGTACCAGAAATTATTTTTAAGTAGTCTTTGAGGAATTTGAATGACAAAAAACAACTGTGTATATAATGATGCAGATGAATTTGAAGTTCCTATGAAGCAGATCAAAGACACACAGTTCTCCTCTGGGAGGGAGACTAAAGAGAAAAGAAGTGGGGAGAAACAAGGGGGGGGGCAAGAATAAGGGATAGGGATGATAGAACAGTAAAAGAAAACGGAAGAAAAAAGATAGAAATGGCCTGAGGTGAGAAAAAAGAAGAAAGAAAATAACTAAGGGATGTGAGTGTCTGAGAAAGGAGAAGGAAGACACGGAGTTGGTACACTGCAGCCGACATCCTCAGCTGGTGATACTGTGCCATTTCTGATGCAGTTTCATCTTTACAGACTTTTAAGTTCCAGTTGAGTAAGAACAAGTGACACTTTACTGGATAACATTTCCTAAGGGACTTTTTGTCTGACTTATTTTCTTTGATTAGCAGTGGCTCAAAATCAGGCTGAACCTTCAAAATCCTTTCAATTCCTGCTTTGTGTTAAGCTATATATCGATGAGATTTTTGGCTGCTAAGCCATGCAAATGCCTCATTTAGTTCTGAATGAATACAATAAGTACTATGGTAGCCAGTTCAACATTAAAACGAATTTGAATTTCAAGTTCTAGATTAACCATAGATTTTTTTTTTTCTGGAATTTGCTTTCTAGATTTTAAGAGAATTTTTCTCCACTACTTCATGAGTATAGGAACACACACACCAGAAAAACTTGAGAAAGTACAGAATATGGTTTTGATTTCTTACTTTCATTGGTGACATGTATTTAAATACTACAATATTTTTTTAAAATGCTAATTTTCTCTACTTCAAAATCATAGTGCCTCAATATTTATGGAGATTATAATATTAAACCTAGTACTGGAAGGACAACATGCTCAATAAAAGTATTCATAAGGACTCATCTTTCCCCCAAGATGAATTTCTTTTAAATTCACTTAATTTTTCAAAGACCTTTTCTTTGAGTGAAATTTCATTAGAACTTCTTAGAGAAAGATTCTTAGGAAAGTTACACTACTAGAATGGTAAACTTTAAAATTTAGACTCAAGTGAAATTAACCTCAAATGAGTTGTTATTAATTATTCCAACTGAAACTAATAGGCCTATAAAGTTTAGTAAACAACACTGTCAGTTATAATAAAGCCACCGCTTGTGAACTAAATACTGATAAAACTATCAAAACTTTTTTCAGGGAATTTTAAATGTCACCCATGTATGTGCTGTAGCGTAAACAAAAGCAGAACTCGAGTTCAAATTCTAACCCCACAGCAACTACTGTGGGCCAAATGATGGGGCCTTTTTGAGATTTAGTTCACTCATCCTTAGATAAGAATAAAACTTGATCATTTCTGCTATTCAATGCTATAAAATCCTAGGAATTCATGAAGATACCAGAGTTAATCCTGGGTGCAGAAAAAGAAGAACTAAATATATGTAGGACAAGGACGTAATGGGGGCGTTTACAACCATTCAGGATCTAGTCTTAATTTTCTAAAATGGAAGAATTAAAAGTAGAGTCAATAAATATAACAGACATCAAAGAGAAAAATACAAGTCCTTATTCTCTTATACTTCAATAAAAACCTATTTTCCCCTCACAAGATGTCATTTTAAAATAAAGCCCATCACACAGTTTTTGAAGTAACTATTCCTTCTCATCAGTGAGATAATGTCCTGGACAGAAAACTACTACCTATGTGTTAACAGTTATAAAGATTTTTTAATTCACTTCACTAAAAAGGTTTGAAATTGGACCCTTTAATTTTTATTTAACACTTAATGTAGGGAAAATATACTTAACTAATAATGTTCAGAAGAGTTTTAAATGGGTTCTGGATTTTCTGAATTAAGATACTAGCGAGCAAACATTATCATCTTTACAAAAAGAATCATGAAATGGCAGGCGTCCAGTGTGATTTTTCTGCCACTGTTACAAGACCCAGCAGAACCAGAGCTTATTCAAATTTGAAATATATGGAACTATGAGCTGCAACAGCATGGAACAAGGAAGTGTTTGCTGTGGTCTATTTAAATCAAAACAAGGCAACAACCAGGCTGAGTCCCAGTTTCCTGGCAATCTCTGATTTTCTGAAAGACTGGGTAGTTAGGAAACCAATCACTGCTGATTCAGAGCGAATGGGCTTTGAACACATACTACATGTCTAATGCCTTTCTTTTTTCTTCTTTTCAACATACTGCACATGCACTGCAGTTGCACATGGATTTGTTTTACTAAGATGCAAGTCTAAAAATCCTTCCTGAACAAAAAAACGTTTGAAACCGGATGGTGCAAGGGGAATGAGAAGGTGGCATCAGTAATCAAATGTTAATTAGCAAGCTTTTCCCCTTCCCCCAGGGCTGGCCTGTGTTAGAGAATTCAAATCAGAAATCAATGCTCCAAGTGTTTAACTATTACTTCTTCTCATTAACCATTAAAAGACCAAGCAATTTTCTCCTCATA